GGAGCGGCCCTCAGGAGTGAAAGGGGTCAGCCCAAGGGGATACGCCCCAGCGGAGCGGCCCTCAGGAGTGAAAGGGGTCAGCCCAAGGGGATACACCACAGTGGAGTGGCCCTCAGGAGCGAAAGGGTCACTCACAGAGACACCCTTAACCATGGTCCATCCACGCTCTCAGTCCTGGGCGGGACACCACACAGACAGCCAAGGGGTGCTTCTGGGAGAGGCATTTTATGATTGGAAAGTGGCACTGGAAGGTCTGGGACACCTTCCCTTGTCCTGGGTGCCGTCCTCAAGGGTCACTGGTTGGAGTGGTCACTGTGAGCAGGTCCATGTCTGGTGTACTTTTCTGTAGGTATAAATATTAATATTACAGAAATTAAAAATGTTAAAACATGTAAACACCACTGTAAGCGGTAGCACCTGGGTTGGATTCTCTCCACAGATTAACATTTACCTGATGCCGTCCCTGAGGATTTTTAGGGAGGAGGACTGGGCGAGACACTCACGGCCAGTGGAAGGAGGTGGGAGAGGAGGGGCAGCCTGCCCAGGGGATTGGGGAGGTGCTGAGACACCACAGCTAAGGCATGTTGGGGTGCTCAGGACTGGTGGAGAGGCCAGCTCCTACCAGGGTCCTGAGCACCTGCTGTGGCCACGTAGAAGCAAGGACAATAGCTCTGGCCTCCACAGGGCCCTGGGTTTGGCACCTGACAGCAGCCTCACTTGGGTGCCCGCCTGCTGCTCCCTGCTCCCAGGTAAGAAAGGTTCCACAGCCTCAGGGTTGTAAGCAGTAGATCTAAGACTTTGTTTCCATAACCCACATCCCCCCCTCCAAATACAGCCTGTCCTCTGTCCCTTCCAGGACTCACAGAGCCAGGCTGCTTCATAATATCTAAATTTGTTGGGCCTTGAATTCCTTATTTACAAGACAAACATGAATTTAAATGTGGTCTTCCGATTATAACTCCTGTCTTTGAGGCTCTATGACTAGGTGACATCTCTGCTCAGTCCCTAATGAAGGTCCAGTGTCTGGGCAGTCCCAGGAGCTGGCCTCCAGAAATTGTCCTTCAGGGACAAGATGGTGGGAATTGCCCCTCCCAGGCCACTTAAACTTTCTCAGTGAATCAGAAGGACATTATGTCCATAGCTCTAATCACGCCACCACAAATCTTTGATGGTCAACCTGGTGCCAACAGTGGGGGCTCAGGTCGGACAGCTAGTGAGTGAAGGCCTTGCTCTTCCTTCTAGCCAACACAACCTGTGACCTCAGAGTGGAGACTGAGGCATAACAGGAATTTTGAGTAGCACCAAAAGGGGGGTGTCAAATCCAGCCCCTTCAACCCTACTGGCACCTGCTTTCTAATGATTTTGAATTATTTAACAATGATGGGATTCCTAAGAAAGTTGTCTTCTGTCTCAGTAAATGATTCTGCCAACACCCTGGTATCTAGAACACTTGTAGGCCTCTCCTCCTACTCTGGCTCACTGCTGATTAACTAAGCTGGCATCAGCGGCTCTCTGAGTATTTTCCTGGCAAGCAGCAGGTGGTCTGGACCAGATGCAGAGGGCAGAGAAGGAGCAGCTTGCTCTGCCCAGGGATGTCTGGCACTGCCTTCCAGGAGAGAGGGTTCCTGAGAAATAAGAATAATGGAACCATCTTATTGGACCCAGGGCAGGAAGGGGCAGAACGGGCTGGTCCCCACCATTTATTCCCCAGATGCCCTCAGTCAGGCACAGGACAGGGTGAGCCTGGAGATGAAAGGCTTTTGAGTCTGTCTGGAGGTGCAGGGTGAGGTCAGTGACAAACTCTGCTCCAGAAGTGCTGAGCACCGCAAAGCTTCCTTCTGAGTTATCTGTCTCGCCTGGCTGAGAGCAGGGTTTCAGGCACCTGGCTTGCAGAGTGCTGTTGATTTAGACCTTCCAGGTCTGCAGATGGTTTACACTCCTGGAGTCACCTCGTGCCCAGAAGAAGTCAGGGCAAGTGTGGCATATGGCAGGGTCTGCACCGAGTG